TTATTGCGCTTACCGAATTTTGTTTGCTATATCGATGTGATTGACACCTAAATGACGTTCAGCGCTATGATTGACTCGTTCCAAGTTGACTAACCAATCAGCGTCTAAGCGCCGTAACGTTTCAATCGCTTTTAAAATATAAAGCAAACTCGTACTAGGCACTCACGCAACAAGGATACTCGTAGGAAATCAGTGTAGAATTACATGGCAACTTGATATTCTTGAGAAGAGGTGATTACGAGAATGCCTAGATATATGTTCCACGTCACATTCACCAATAAATCTCTTGTATTTAAGATCAGTATTCCATGCACATGCAACTGCAGCTTTTAGAATATGTAAAGAACATCTAAATAACAGATCTTGGGAATCTAGAAAACGTGGTAACAAATTCTAGAATGATTCAGAACGTGGGACTGTGAGACGTGGTTGTTGGAAACAGACTCAACAATAACAATTAGAATTCAAAGATATTATGCACAATGATAACCGGTTTTACCAAACCGACTGGCAACAGATCGCACACTATTGAAACGTGTTATATTTAAAAAAAAACGTTGGTGTATGACGGAATCGCTTCAATTGCCTTGACCCCCGACCGATACGATGCGATAAGAAGCATTTTAGCGCCAAACCACCGAAATTATGCACACATGATAACATTATACGTCACGGAAACATCTAATGTACATTTTAATATTGAATATTCACGATAAAACAACCTCAATAGTAGTAACACAAGGTAATAATTCAAAAACACACACATAGATATCAATAAATTATTCCCTGTTCCTGTAATGAACTTTATTGTATTAAGATTTGAATGAAATGCAAAAAGCAACTTGTTATATTTTAACCAGTAGAATATTTCAAAGTATCGGTGTCAAACGATGGACGACATGGCGATGTTCGTTTTACAAGAGCAAAAGAGTAGTGTTACCAGCCCGCCCCACGCGACGACCGAGCTCATATCAAATGTAGGACAACTCATTCCTATTATTAAATTAGAACAAATTATATAATACACCTACATAATATAATATCATATTTCTGAATTCAAACTATGTTTACCTATTCCCGCGCGCTTTTACCGATTCGTGCTCGCCTCCTATTGGTCGGAACATGACGTTTTTAACAGATTTTGATAAAAGAAGGACGTTCTAAATTTGAATGTTTCATAGCCTTATAATTATTTTATTCCTCGTTGCATAGACTATACCACAAAAAATAATACTCTCGGAATATTAGCGTGTTCAAATAGGTACACAAACAAACTCTTCATTAATATTACTTATTTAGGAATATAGGAAGGAGCGAATAGCTTCACTAAGAGGACTGACCGACAGACTGACACTTTGTATCTTTAAAGTTGTGTTGACGTTCAAAAGTGCCCGTATGGGTCTAATTGAAATAAATGATTTTGACTTTGACTTTGACTTTGACTTAGAATTTAGAATGGTGTGATTTTACCGACTGCCTTGTTCGTGAAGTCGTCGAAAATACATCTGACTCAGATTTGATTCCTGAATCTAGCTTAGCATTATTGTATATGACTAGATTTTTGTTGTAGACTTCTCTTACATTCTGCTCGTAAAATAATGTCAAAAACATGTCTGCCATCCGTTCAGATGTCAAAGGCTGTAACGTCATGACATTAAAAACATTATTCTAGTTTCTAGAAATAGGTGTTAAAGTGTGAAACTATGCATCATCCATACCATTGTGGAAACACAATGAAATTGTTACAGGAGCTTGTGAATACGTTGTTATTTATATTTATTTATTGTTAACAGTCCGTCCATGAATCAGGGTAACGATAATACGAATGAAAAACCTATATAGGAGAAAATATGAGTCATTTACGAGTGAACATAGACATTAAGTGTAATGTATTGGGTTGTAAGAATGAGGTTTATTTCCCATAAACTTGTAGATAGCTGTTCGTTTACTATTGTGCTAGTTTATTTACGATTTGATTGGATTGTTACCTAGATCTTTATTATGACTGCACAGTATAAGACTTAATTATTGTAGACTAGCTACTCTCGTGCGGTTTCACCCGCTGTACGGTTCCATTTAGCCTTATTATTTAGCATGTTTTATAGCCAGCACTCTGGAACATTGTAGCTATCTATCAGTAAAAGAATTTTGAAAACCCGACCAGCGGTTCCAAAGATTACCCCCTACATACAAACTTACAAATTTTACCTCTTTATAATATTAAGTAAGTAAAGATAAATCTGAGGCAGGTTATTTTTAATAGTTCAGCTTATCAGTTTCAGCTTCAGGTTGCCCAACATGACACGTAAAAAATCACTACGCAAATATTAACTGAAATAACCTACTCAGTTTTGTTTCACACATTTCGCATTTCTATCTAAAACGCAACTCCAAAAAAAAAAGACATTGAAATATTTAACAAATTTGTTTACTTAAAATATTTCTCTTCTGCTCCTTTTCAGTGCGATTGTTCGGCAGCCATTTTATATTATGAAACTAGCGGCCCGCCCCCGCTTCGCACGGGTCCAACTATCTCGCTCTCAAAGTGTCATTTTTTCCCAATCTTCCCCTCTACTTTTCTTATATTTTCTTTGATAAGAACCTTCTCCTGACAATAAGAAATACAACGAAAAAAGAATTAGCAAAATTGGTCCAGCCGTTGTTGAGTTATGCGCTTACCAACACATTTTGAATAGATATATATACCATTATACATACAAAACAGTAGGCGTTATGACGTCACGAACCCATGACGGTCACCGTTAACGGTCAGATCTTATCAGGACACCGGTTAACTGCTGATAAGTGACTATTAACACAATGGTCATTGTTCTATAGCAATAAGATTGAGAGATCTACGAGTAATTAGTATCGGTGTTTAATTATTTTGATATTGATTATAACCTTGATTTAGAATACAAATCTTTAAAAAGCAAAAGAAGATTAATCACAAAACTAAGATTTTTAAAAAATCCGTAATTAAGCTCGATATTTTCCTATTTTTTTTATAAATTGTCATTTCCTCCTTCTTCAAGAGCTCGTTTACAAAAATTTGTATTCAGTGTGTGAAGTGTTTTCTTTGGGTTCACTTGGAATTGTAACTTGAAATAAAGTTATAATTTAAGATACATTATTCTTGATTAGATTACTATTCAGTAGTTTTATAAGTTTCTTTGTTTTTTGTATTAGTAATTCGTGTATTAGGTACCTACACTTATATGATTGTGTAGATAAGTTATAACAGACAAAATAAGTTCACCTTTATAGTAATGCAACCTTTTAAGACTTGAAGGTGATTCAAAGTTACAAATATTCTTACATGACTATAAAAACTGAAACTTCTACATTAGCTTAATTTGTATTATTATCATAAAAAACCCGCATTTTGAAGTCAGCACAAATGTAGTGTATGCCATCTCAGATCGGTGTCACGGCCAGACCTTCAGCTAACTCGGAACGCACATATGAACAGACAGACAGACGTATATTTTATTCATATTGCACAAGACGAGGTGAACCACCATTTTACATGCTACATCTTTCAGGTCAAAGAATATTTAAGTATTTATTAATTCCGCATGTCTCAGTGAATTATGAATTTGTCACAAATGATGGATTTCAATCTTATTGACTAGTGTTCTAATGTATCTATATCCTGTATAGGTGTCAACTCTGATCATAATTTGATTGATCAACAAGCTGTTGAATACAGTTGAAAGCTATCTAGAAGTTTACTCTTAGGCGATTATTATTACCACGAAAAAAAATCAATTTTACTTAAGTTTGGTCTTCAGAGATTTGTATGACCCTTTTTAGATGGGGGGAAAATTATTCAGTGTCTTCTCTCGCCTATGGTGAGCCGAAAGGAAGTGTCAGACTCTTACTGACTAAAACCCTCCGTTCATTCTCCTGCTCTAGGCCTAATCCACGGTACCTAAGTACTTGCGCTTGCACCGGCAGGTCAACGATTTCTAGAACTAAGTTGGACGATATTACCGCCATAGATATTTAATTTTTACTTAACGTTTGTGCCAGTATATGTAGCAGTACCCGTGGCACTATATGACCCGATAACATCGAAGACAAAGGTATTGCCTAGCCGAGAATGAAAAACGATTCGATATTTTATTCTGTGTAGGTACCTACTTAGCAACAACTTCCAACATAACATTTCACGAGGACTATAATAGTAATTGCTTAATTTACTACAGAACACATATATGTATAGCCTACCTACCTACGTACTAGTACTACATACATACCTATAAATAATCATTTCAACAATCACGATAATTACAAATAATACCTACGCTTTCGTTACGAGTATTATGGTTTCCATAAACTGACGCGACAATTATAATTATTTAATTCCTGCTCCATTTTAATTATTGTGACATTTTTATGGCATGGTTAATTGCGGCAAATTCCATCTATTTACATATTTCTAGCTGCAATATCTGTTTAGTCCCTTATTTAGTTCTTTTTTATCTGTTACCTAGGTATTATTATGAATACAAAAAACTGTTTCTCAGAGCTTCATTCACATGTTCTATCCTTTCCCATGGAATCGAAATTACCGTCATGGGAAACACTATAAGTAATCTGTGTATGTATCTCTGTGTGGGCTTGGATGCACTCATGCATGGAACCTTTTAGAAAAATTTATTCAAATTTATCAATCACTTTCAAAGCCTCGTCCATACTCGCGAACTAGTTTAGAATAAATTCGTAATTTAAAATAACACTTTTTTTTTCAGTTAATTATATGGCAGCTTTCGTTTCCTTCAGATTTGGTTGTATGCAATTGTAACTGGCCGAAAAAAAACATCGCCTAAGACCTTTTTTCCTAAAATTATTATTTTTTTACATTGTCTTAGCCTTAAGAGAGATGGTCCTCAGAGTTACTTTCGGCATTTCTGCTCAGAGTAGCCAGATAGGAAGAAATTGTTTCATTAACACCGTAAAAACAAATTAATAACGATTTATCTCCATATTTCCAGGTACAGATGTGTGCCCCATGAAATCAGTGCTGAGGCGCATTGGACAGCAGCTGTTCACTGCACTCAGTACCAAGGGACTGGCGGTGCTCGTCAACCACGGTATAGCTGATGAAAAGGTAAGTTATTAACTTTACATCACTATCTATAAATAAGGTTAATAATCGATTGATAAAAGTTCTACCTATTAAGAAAAAAACCTATTTTCTAAATAACGATAAAAAAGTTTGAATTTTATTCTTTCTTCGTTCGATTTTCGAATTTCGCGAATGGAATTTCAAATCACCTTAGACCAAGCGGCTAAAGAAACACACACTACACCATATTGATCTATCGGCATCCTCTATAAAAGATTGTGCCACAGTCTCCAACATAGGCAAATGGTTTAAAAGGATCACTTTTATCAAATTATGCCTGGTCTTTGTTAAAGCAATCCTTTATATTTAACTTGTATCTTTAAAGGCACCCGTGACTTTGATCTGACAACAAATCCAAGAAAATTATTGACACCATGATGATAAATAACCATTAGAAGGATAATGCTTGCTAGAACAATATTGACCTTAATGTCTACACCATTAAGGTACATGGGACACTTGTCTGACTAGTTCTTGGATCTTAAATCAACATCTAGGCTTAATTTAGGCATCCTGAAGGTAATAAATGGTTTATAGATATAAGGAAATGTAGAAGGAAGGAAGTTTTATTGAAAGACGCTTCATAGCTCATAGTGTTTTCCTGAATGAGATGAACGGGTATGCGGAGTAAGGCTCGAAATGGATGATTCAAGGCTTGACCAGTTGTTGTTGGTTGCTACTTAGATGTACTTTTAAATTGAATATAAATGCTAGTGCTTTAAGATAATTATGTAGTTTACAATGATATAGCTCGGCCCGGTTCAGAATGTTGAGCTGGAGAAGGAACGAGTTGTTTTTTAGTCAGTTTGACAGCACGGTTGGTGCGGTGGCTGGGCAACTGGCTGCCGTGCAACGTGTCGCGGGTTCGATTCCCTCACGGAACAACTCTTTGTGTGATCCACATTTGTTGCTCCGGGTCTGTGTGTCTTGTGTATGTGAAAATGTATGTTTGTAACACCCACCACACAGGAGAAAATCCTAATGTAGGGCAACGTTTTTTTTTTAAAAAAAATAGTCTGCAAGAGAAGTGATTTGATGTCATTTCAACCATAAAAAAGATATAAATCAAGGTCTTTATTGTCTTAAATGCCCGTTAATAGTCGATGAAGAATTATAGCAAAGAGGAATACTAACAGCAAAACACAAGACAAGAAATATGAAATTATTTTATTTCTTTTTCCTCTCTCGCTCATATGCATGTTTCTGTGCAATATTAGTTGATGCAGTTGACAATATTTTTACGGAAAAGTAAACTTTATCCTTGAACGTATACGCGTCAAAAATGAATAACTGTTTCAAAATGTGTCACGACATTCAAGGCAAACTTGAGTGGACAAATCTTTAACTTAAAACACATTTAAATTTAATTTCAAATTATTATTTAAGTTTTTCTTATCGCTTAATCTTGACAAGTAGACATACAACACGCATTTGACCAAGGCTGCATTAATAAGTGACCTTTTTTCAAATACTTAAAATGACTGAAATGGCATGTTAGGACGGAAAGCAATCAACGCCGCCCATGGGGGTGTCCAAAACCGGAGGAGTTACGAGTGCGTTGTCGACCTTTTGGGGATTAGGGTTTTGGGGATTTAGGGATTGGGAAGGGATTAGGGGAGGCGAAACACAACGATGTGGTTGTTTCACGCCGGTTTTCTGTGAGGCCGTGGTATCTATACCTAAATGGATATAGCGACCCATTTGTGCCGAAGCATGGCTCTTCCACACTTAACACGTCGTAGTCGCACACATTCACCCGTATATTCAACACAAACTCAAAGATATATTTTTTTTATTAAAACCTAACCTATGAAATTGTTTACAATGGTTGTCTGTATTATTTACATATTTAAATCGCGTGTAAACAACCTCTACGTACTCCTTCCTGCGAGAGAAAAAGACATGAATCTATTATTTCAAAATACGACGCAATTTTTAAAGTCTTTAAACTAAGGTCAAATGACGGTCAAATAAAGAAGCGATTATAGTTCTTATTTCCATATTAAGTACTAAACAAGAATCTTTTTTTGACACTAAAGAGTAAAAACTTGTGCGTAGGAATGTCAACCCGGCTTCGCTAAAGTAATGCTTTCCAAAGTTCCCGATGATTATTTTTCTTAATTTCCTGACAATGAAGACCAAAACAAAAAAGAATAATTAAATTCTGTGCGGACGTTTCCGAGTTACGCGTACACACATTTACATTTCGTAAATTTATTTAATAAAATAACTTTAATTAAAGAAGAACGTCATATTTACAAACTCATACTGAGTATCAATATAATTAAAAAAACAAATAAAAACAGGGTTTTTTTATAAAAAAAATTAACAAGCAGGTACCTACTTGCTTTCTTAAAACTGCGGCTGAGAATTGAATGACCTAAATGCCCTTCTTAATCTGACATCCAAGCATGCATAATGGTAATTATAACTAACACCACAACAGTACATCATTGCACAATCCAACAAAACAGGGTACAACGCTGAAGAAAAATACATAAACAATTATTACAATGCTATGTTTGTTCTTTTCAGCTGAAAGCAGTGTATGCTGACCTGGACAACTTCTGCGCTCTGCCAGAAGGTTGCCAGGCACAGTACCTTCGCAACCCGGTGAGCAACCATGGGTATGTGCGACCAGGCATGGAGCAGTTTGACACTACTAAGAAGGTAAGATTTTAATTATAAATATGGTTATAACATTTCCCATTGGTCCACGCTATCGCTATGGGTTTCCGAATGTAAAACTTAAACCTGTTATCTTAGACTATCTAAGTATGTATTTATTACGGGTTGATAGCTTATTGCTAGATTTCAATTCAGCTATTTAAAATCCTATTGAATAACAGTTGCTATGGCGATCACTCGATTTACATGTAGTAAATAGTAAGATTGTTTTTTTTTTTTTTTGTTATTAAGTAGAATATTATTCTGAATTTAAAAGTTGACCATGGAGTTTCTTCCTTGTAGAACCAATATTAATTCAAATTCAGCTAGTTAATTAGACTACTATGAAAACTATATAATATTGTCTATTCATGTTTTTGTCTTAAAATATTCCTATTAAAAATTATAGAACGGCCTGTGATAGCTCGTTTGACTCCGTTTCAGTTTATTAAATACTGATTCAGAATAACAATGATTCATTGCGTTAAAGTATAGGTACTCAAATTAATTCAACAAGACGAAAATTGTTTCTGAAGGAAATACCCACAGACAACTCAACCCTGTGGAAATACCTTATAAGTACCTACTTACATCTGAAAAAAGAGCTAAATATTTATGTTTTATGGTTAAGCCAAATAATATCCATTATATCCATCTCGAATGTTCATTTAACAACAACTATTTTCTTCGAAACATTGCATAATATTTTCCAACAAATGCATTGAAAATATGGCGGCATTGGCGTCTAGCACAACTAGTGCCATCTAGCGGGTGAACACTAAATTAGCATAACCCGAAAACCTAAACAGACTTTCACTGCAGTCATTGTCATCCATTTAACACAATACTCGATTCAACTCTCACACGACTTCTGTTTGTTGTACTTAGTATGCATTCAATATATATATATTTTTACTAATTAGTTTCAATATGTACCACGTCAAAGACTGTGTCAAGCCTCAGACATAAATCCTATCAGTTCATTTTGATGTATTTACTCCTTGTTACGAGTTTGCGATTGGCACGTTTATGCCGTTCTGAGTTCGGATTGGCCTGGTACAATTTAACTAATCAATCAAAAGTCGATCAAAAGTCTGTAGTCCTAGAACTTAGTCAAGTCCTCTAGAATCAAATAAACACCAGACGAATAGAGTGCTTTATAAGTCGTAAGAATAGTTCACGCATTTTCAGTCTATAGGCATCGACTTAACGCAAATAGGTAGATATGTAACACGTATGTTTCGTCTCCAGGAGTTACGTCACTCGTTCAACATCACCACGCTGTCCGCGTCATCGATGCCAGCGCAAGAGGAGGTGCCGGAGTTCACTAAGCATGCCATCCCTCTCGCACAGGACCTCACCAACCTATCGCGTGTTGTGCTGCAGGCCCTTGCCTATGCCATTGGTATGTTTTAACCATTTAAAATACTTTTCTGATACATAAGAATCATCACCATTGAAGGTGTTTGAAAGGGACAAAATAGTTAAAACATTTTTTTAAGTTCCTAGAATAAATGCCGTGGTACCTAACTACATTCAATGACATTTTATTTGGCGCCACCAAAATAGTTTGAATATAATTTCATAAACAAAAAAGTAATTTGAATTTCGCATTTTTTTAATTAACATTCAAAGGTCAGCGAGTACCAGTTGTACAAGTGTGCAAATACACTATAATGATCTAATTTCTAGGTTAATTACCATCATTCAAATATTAATGACTATCCTAAAACATTATTTGGAACTCATTGCGTTTGATTAGTAAAAGTAAACACCGCCATCTGTTGACTGTTTTATTACATTTATAAACAAACTGAGCATGAAAATGAGCAATTAAAGTTTTGTTGTGATCATTATTTCCTGGTTAGATATGCTAATAAAAGTTATGATTTTCTAGTAAAAATTTTGAAAGTAGAAAGTATTAGGTACTCAACGAACAAGATTGCTTTACGAAATCAAATAAGTATAAACAATAATTCGCTATGTTTAACATTTTCTGATGAGCGAATACTTGTTCTTTAAAAGACCACGTCATGGTTTCGCTTTTCTACTAGGTAAATAAAAACATAGATTTAAAAAAAATGTTTTGCTTCCTATATTTTTCTAAGTAGGTAGGTACTTATTTATGTAAAAATATGTAAGACAAATTAAGTATCTATTTAAGTCCCTATCTCTATTGTCACTTCAGGTGTTCCACCGGCATCGTTGCTGACGTGTCACTCGGGTATGCTGATGGCGGAAGGTCGCAACCCATCGACGATGAGGTTGTTATACTACCCGCCAGTGCCGCCGGAAGACGTGGGGCCATGTTGCCAGCCCGACGCTGTGCACTACACGCGTTGCGGCGCACACGCAGACTACGGCACTTTCACTCTATTGGCCCAGGATTCTGAAGGCGGACTCGAGGTAAACGACTAATGTCAAAGCAACCGGTCAGTTTTGATGGTTAAACGCCTCTGATTGGTTGACTAATTTGGAACCGGCCAATCAAAGCACTGGACAATTTTTTAAACGTTGCCCCACACGAGGGTTTTCTCCTGTTTCGTGGCTGCGTTCTCAAACATACAATTTCGCATACACATAACTGACCCTGAACAACAATTTGTGGATCACACAAAGAGTTGTTCCATGCGGGAATCGAAACCGCGACAGCCAGTTACCTAGCCAACAGCGCAGTCAGAAAGTTATATCATATCATAAGTCTATATAATGCCCTAAATTAACGGAGACTCGCACTGTTTTGGTTTCATATCATGATTTACCTTCACTGCACCTATGTCAGTCACCAACGTCATGTGACCGTACTCATAAAAATCCTGCTAAATACACGTCACCCGCTGCAGTAAAATTACAAGTTTCGCGTACACATGACTCATGTGCACGATGCATCATCCCGTCATTACGTCTCGCAATAAAATAATTATTTGATATTTACGTATAATTTAACTCAATTCCATGATCATCATTATTATTTACAATGACTATTCTAATCTTTTGAATTTATTGCACCGGATGCAATTTCAGATTTATATTTTTAGGACATGTTTATAACACGTGATATTTTTACGTACAGGTGAAATTGAACGGCAGTGACAAATGGGAAAAAGTGGGGCATCTCCCTGGGGCGATCCTCGTTCAGTCAGGAGAGTTCCTTGCCGCTTGGACTGCTAATCTTCTCCCGGCACTTGTAAGTGTTAAACATTCAACTGCTTTTGTGAGAGTAGTTCTAGAAGTATCAAAGGCGAATCATGGTTGGCATTTGCCTATTTACAGGTGCACCGCGTTGTAGTACCCACAGGAGCGTACGCGCGCGCTCGCGGCCGTCACTGCGTGGCTTTCTTCTGCCACCCGGACAACGACGCCGTGCTGCCGCCGCTGCCGCTGCGCGCCGTGGCCGCACCCGCGCCCCCCTCTTTCACCCCGCACCCCCACCTCACGCTGCACCACCGGCTCCTCAACGCAGCCCACCATCTCCAGAAACGTTTCCGGGAAACGTACGCGTGACTAGCGCACAGCGGTGGCGACAAGCAACCCGTCTACAAAACGCAGCTTGCACGCCGCCATACCGCTCCCTAACTTGCCGTGGTTATGCAATACTTTCTACCCCGAAATTAATAATACAATAATCCTGAATGTCATTTATAAATGTATGGTTTGACAACTCAAAATGTTTAAAGAAAACATTAGTGACTGCTTGATTATGAACAAAATGTATTTGACAATAAACGTGTGACGGATTAAATATTATTAGTTTCGGGTGTCATTAGAAATTTTTGATATTATGCACACTGCACCTACTAGTACCTATCGCACAGTGAATTGTGACAAATTGGACATTAAGTCATGATTCCTCTTGCTATTATCGGTAAAGATGGCGTAAACTTCGGTGGAATGAAAGTGTAATAAGGAATTGAATCGGCTCTAAGTTTGTAATTTTACTGTATTTTTTATGTTTTTATCTAAGATTAGCAAAAGTTTTACAAAAAATAAACAATATGTGACTGATACGTCTTATAGATCGTGTAGGCATAAAAGTCGGTGGCAATTAATGTACTTAGTAGAGGCACTTATTTATGTTGAAACTGTCGGAAGGATGCAAAAACTAAAGACAATAGAACAATGGGATTGAAGTGCACATTTCTCCCATTACACTAATTATTTGCATTTGAATAAGGACCGCGTTCCCACGAAACTCGACTATAAATTAACCCAAGTTGGAACCTACATCTAAAAACAAAAACTCCATTCTATTTTACAATAGGCATAAAACATGACATCATTGTAATGCGATTAGTTTCAACATAATACTAGAACTCCTAATAATAACTTCACACCTTATGATCAAGTACTTAAATAGTAACAATAATGGTTTTATCAAAAATAGGTACAGCAATATTTTTATGACAATTTCTATGTTAAAACATGTTTTTGTAAATCCTACTTGGGTAGACTTAAGCAGTAAAGTCTAGCATTTATTTTGAATTCATTTCTCAATTTACTTAAAGAATTAAGAAGACTTAAAATAATAACTCATTCCCGGAATTAAAGCATTTTGTAGTGAGCGTGTCATTTCGTTAAACTAGGGAATCTTATTGATATTGAGCTTATCGCCACATTTTACTTACTAGCTTATTATATAAATATACATTTATTCTTAGCAATTAGCGACGTGAAGTCAAATTATATAGTATTCTGCTTCAATCATACTTCGTGAACGTGTTCTTGCTATAGCATTTTATACCTAGTTAAGTATGAAATATAGTTTCATTTTTCTATTTATTATACACTGTCCATTTTTCACGACTACTTATTGTATTTTATTAAGTAATTCGTGTGATAACTTTGTAGCTCAATTTTATATCTGTACTTAAGTATACGATAATGTGTTCGAACATCGAAAGTGTGTTGGATTATATGAGAGTGATACTTAGTGATCGAATGACGATCAGTACTTAAATGCCCAGTTACAAGGCTCAAAGCGGAGTTACTTAAACATTACTAGCACGTACTTCACAAGCTATATTTCCGTCTCTGTCTAACGCTAATTAAACAATCTTGCGCGACAGAGACAAACTTAGCCAAAGCACGCATTCAGCAATGTTTAGTAATCTCAACTTAATGTATTGAGAAGGTATTATTAATGTCATTTATATTTTGTGTGTACCAATAATATTAAATTTAACGAGGCCTTCGGGTTTGTTGACTTAAACGTATAATTAAGATTGGGTACAAAAACATTTGTATGGAACATTAAGAGAAAACTATATTAGAAAAATATATTCACTTTTGTCATATACATGTAGATGTATATGACAAAAGTGAATAAAGCGATCTATTGACTATAATCAATTTGAACGTAAGTAAAATACAAATTGTTAACTTCGACAACAATATTAAAATACAAACTCCTTTTTATAATGTAAGAGATTGTAAAATCTGTGAATTTTGTAGAACCGTACATTACCTCTGTCCGCAATGTTCCTGTCGGAATGACGGTTGACATCATTACAATATAAATGATAGTGAAATTAAATAATAATATGCTGATTAAGATAAACGTGTGTTTTATTTGGGTGCTGTCTTAAAACTTGGGAGGGAACATCTGGTTTCATAAAAATAAAATCACCACATGACGAATGAAGTCACCGCATGACGTGCCAGCTACGTCATAGCCAACCATAGCCAAGCCGCCACCATGACACCTCCCCACCAGCCAAGCCAACAGCCGACAGCCCACTGTCGGCTGAAGTGACTATAAATGCCATTGCCAGCCATTTTTGTGTATCATTCGTATTGATTAAAAATATAGTGGAAACTCTGCCCGATTTTCATTTTCTACGTAACACAGTAGTTTCTTATAAACTGTCAACCTTGATTTACGAAAGACATAGCAGCTTCAATACACTGACCACGATTGAGCGCTACACTCTCTGATAAACATATTTTAAGCAACAGCAAATCATCAAGTGACTTCTCTCGACGTGAGTGAGGCGAGGCCAAAAGGGATTGTCAGCCTCTCACTGCCTCCTACTCGAACCGCAACCCCATCTGGCTAAAGTAGCTACTACTGCTTAGGATTCCTACTACTCTACTACGCCCTACTCTGATGCTATAAAATATACTACATAGCTGTGGACTTCGACGCATGAAGTCAAATACAACGGCAATACAAATCGATCGCGACCCCCAATAAGTCACGCTTTAAAGCATACTTTACTTCAAGGATTTCTACAAACAACGCTACAGAACATATACATATGTCACAGAACAGGCTGCACTGCCACAAAATAAGCTAAACTGCTTCGGACCCCGTTACTTTGCTGCAAAACATGGTAGCAAAGTAACATGGCAGTACCTATATTATAAACTGGATTAGTCTGTAAGCCTCCTTAAAAAAAAAATATGCTACGGACTTTCTGGAGGTTTAAAGCGCCTGCTTCTCATGCATGAGGGTTCGAAACCTGGTTTTAAATCGCCAATCCTTGAGGCAGCGTAATGATCAATTCTCAAACCTTGTCCGTTTGAGAAGAGGCCTTTGCTCAGCAGTGGACAACTTATAGGCTGATAATGATGATGACTGCTACGGACCCAGCTACTTTGCTACAAAACATCCTACACTGCTACGGTCTTTGCTACAATGCTACAAAATAAAGTACACTGCTACGGACTCTGCTACATTCCTAGCCTAGCACATTCTACTAAACTGTTCCTGGCACTGCTACAAAATATGCTACACTGCTACGAACTGTGCTATTAGTGCTACACAAATATTACATTACATCGCAAATGTTAGAACGGTAATGCAAATCGTGTTATACTGTTGCGGCCCCAATAGTCGACGTTACAAAACATATTTCATTGCAACGCTATCTGCACTAGTGATGCAAAAGTTCTTATTTCTGTTTTCGCATCTTTTATAATGGAGATACAATAGGAAGTTCACGGCGATATAGAGTAGTTACGTTGACGGTACCACAAGCACCATTTTGCCAGTGATCAATTATTTAGTCTTTTATACGGAGAACACCGGAATAGATAGCTAGGCGCAATCTGATACAAAATAATGCTTTGGACCCTACATACTACACAATATTTTCCAAAATGCTCGTTATAAATATTGCGACCCATTTTCACTCGATACCATGAAACCTACACCTTACTGAACTAACTACACGAAGATAAAGATCAAATTGCCACACTAGCTGCTACAGGCGTTACAAGACATTCAACAGCAATGCTACAGATCCTACTGCGATGTACTATTACAATCATTTGGTTGATTGTAATTATTTTAGAATATGCAAAAATATATGTATGCATATTAAAAAAATCTGAAGACACAGTAATGAAAGCAAATAAAAGTTACTGTCAGTAACCAACAGATGGCGCTATATGAAGCTATTTGAGTAATAAAACTTCGTCCTATGTATACATTAATTTTTTTTGAGAGTTGGACTACGTAGTTTTATTATGCATTAATACACAATTATGAAGTAGTCCTTTTTAAACTCAAACGCATTAGGCAAGAGAAGGGCAGGGCCTTTGTTTAAAAAAACTCTACTACCACAGAGTGGAATCAATCTGCTGACAGCATCAATACTAATATTATAAAGAGGTAATATTGGATGTCATTATTTATGTAGGGGCAATCTTTGAAATCTCTTTTTTTATGGAATATGAGGCAAACGAGCAAAGGGTCACCTGATGGTAAGCGATCGGCGCCGCCCATGGACACCTGCAACATCAGGAGTCACAGGTGCGTTGCCGGCCTTTTAAGAAGGAGTACGCTCGTTTCTTGAAGGTTTGAAGATCGTACCTATCGGTTCGGGAATACCGCTGCCGGAAGATCATTCCAAAGCTTTGCTGTGCGGGGCAGAAAATTACGCGAAAATCGCACAGTTGTTGACTGCAAACCATCTATGTGATGGGGATGAACATGTTTACGCGTGGAACGATGGCGAAAAGATGCGGCGGGAATCACACCGAACAATTCCTCAGAACACTCCAATTCTGGTCGGAGTTCCAAAATTCTTTTACTCATAGGTAACTACAATACATATAATGCTATAATTATATGCTTTAAATTATACATGATTTGCGTATTTTAATTAAGCTATCGGTTTAAACGCTGCTGTTTTTAAAATCCGAGATATATTACTTTAAAACACGCGTGCAAAACCAAGGGCGGAAGGAAGTTTTAATAAATTGAAACTATTATATACTAGCTTTTGCTATGTACTACCCGGGCACTCCGGCACACTTGGTTCAGGTAGTAGACCTTTGATCCTTTTATTGTAGTGGGAACATCATCAAACGACTCTTCGCCCAGGGTGAGGCTAGAGGGAATATCAGACTCTTATCTACTGATTAAAATCCCGCACGTTCCTTCAAGTTTTCCTGGCCAATTCTGCGGTACCTTATGGCACTTGGCCCTATTGAGCTCCATCTGTGGTGGTCTAATGACTCTTTAATGTAATAGCGCGGAACGCTAAACGCCGCACACTCACGTATGGTTCTGATCAGGCGGCGAACTAGTCTTGCTCGCCGTCAATGACGTGTGGAGTGTCTCCTATTGCAGCGGCTAGGGCGTGAGGAGGATAGTTCCCACAACCGCAACCTAAAAAAACCTCCTTCTTTGCAAGCTCCACCAATTTCTAGAT